GTCCAGCTAAGACCCATATAACCAGCCCAGATGAGACCCAGATAGCTATCCCAGATGGGACCTTTTTAACCACCCCAGATGGGCCCCAGTTGGGCTTCAACGATCTGTCATTTCAAATTAAATCTGCTTGCTCGACCGTGGTAATTCCAGGCAGACTGCTTTATGTCATCGAAAATAAGCCAGGTCAAAGCTTGTTCACCAGTTAGGTGTCACCGTTGCCGCCGTTGTCAGTGTGATGTTTCCTGTTGTCGTCGCAGTCTCTCCCGCCGGAACCATTTTCCTGGTATCTATTTCGCTTCGTTGCGGGAGACACCGTAGCGCGATGTGTTGCGCAGGAGGGCCCGGAAAATGGTGATATTCAGTACCTTAGATCACTACACCACGGCCTCAGTGTGGGTGACTATTCATGTACACCGTTTTGTTTATGCCGTTACCCCAAAACAGGTAACCAGGAGTGCTCCTCCCTCAATCCCAGCGACGCAGTAAACCGTACGTTAACACCAGAAAACATAAAATCAAGTCGCGGCACTCCCAGCTAGGAAGATGAAACAAACGTAAAGAAGGAGGCGAAGAGGTGGTGCAGACCCGAAGGAATTGTGTTATGTAATAAGTAGGGAAAAATCATAGATGAGAGGGCTTAAAGTAGTCATTAGCCAAAGTCAGCTAATGACAGCCCGCTATAACCGCCCAATAAGCCACAGCCACCGTGTGAGTAAGGGCTATACGGTCACACAAGTCGGAGGGGGCAATTACCTGGTCATTTTCATGCCGGGTTTTGAGCTGGATGTCAGGGGAGTCCACCCAGCTAAGCAGGGCTTGTTGCTGGGAGAACTCCCGGTTTTTGATATTTTGATACTTAAGAACTGATCTTTTGTGGAGTCGTTTGCCGAGGTTGACATAATGAGAGCATCTATGTCGAATAACGGCGCAAAAATTCACTACACATGCCCTCTCTCGGAGTACATGTGTGGAAAAACTTAACGAGAGGTTACTTACATGGATACTTCTAGCTGTCTATATGGGAATACGATATTGTCTCGATAGGTCATTTTTTAAGAGCGGCTGCTTTCGGATCCACTCACTCACTAAAGGATAAGTTTGGCTTGTTTTAGGCACTCGCTCTTTGTTCCTGTAATAGATGGCCTGCGGCTGATGGCAGCAAACGCTGTCGTCAATGATTCATAGGTGCACTTGTGCACTTAGGTGCACTTGCACAACTGCCTGAAATAAAAATAAAGCAAGAAATTCCTGTAAAACACTGTCAGTACACTTTCAAAAGGAATTCTGCCACTTCTTTCTTATGTTACGATTCTAAAACTTGGTTTGTTTATGATTACCCTGGAAAGTGCTCAGAGAACTGAAATAGATAGAATGTTTCGTCTTCGCCTTGTTCATCTTGTGGAATTACCAATAATTGTGGTGAGGAAATCCTCGCGTAAGATCGATTAACGTGTGCTCGTCATTCATACATTTTGCTAGAGCTCGGGAAGAATGTCGAAGTGACATGTGTTAAGAACGAAATGAACGACTTCAGGTTACGGTCACAGTTTACGACGGAGTGAGCCGATCACACCCGGTCACGTGACACCGGCCAGCGCGCTCATGGCGTGCCGTCGCGTGTGATCCGCCAATGTTCAATTTCGATTTGCGACTGATCTAGAAGGGACCCCTTCGATTTCCTTTTTAGGCTGAATGGTCGCAGTTTTTTCAATAGCATATCTGTATAAAGAAAATAGGAGGGATCATGTTTTTCAGAAAATGCGCAAGTGAAAAGGTCAACAAAGTCATAATGTGTACCTTATTAAACTTGCATGATATATTGACCAATGCCTCGCAAAACACATGCACGTAGTTTTCTGATGCACTTTCCCCAAGTATAGTTTTGTTAAAATAAATGGAAAAATAGAGTTCGTGACAACAGGACCACAGCCAAAGCTTTGGTAAGGGGGGAAGGGCACAGAGTCGGCAAGGGGCCCCATAAATCGCCAGATGTGACCGTTTGTTATGGAATAAATATTTTACTCGATATATATATATATATATATATATATATATATACATGCACATGTAGGTATGTATGTATGTATGTATATCTTCTATAAATGGAATATAGACCAGACGCTACAACCAGATCAATTCCGCTTTAAGCTTACAGTAAATGAAGTGACAAAATCATGCGTTAAATGACTACATGAAACAACTTGCTGACGCTCTTCATTTTACAATGGTCCGGTGGACTCTTTTTAAGCTGATTGAACTCAGAAACTTTGTTAGCATTTTTTTTAGGTTGTACATAAATAACTGGGATTCTGCGAGTGTAAATTGGATATCTAAATGGGTCAACAATTTGTATTACCCATCTGAATATCTTCAGTTTCACTCAGATTTTATAAGTGGTACAAATTATGTGACGTAGTTTTGAGCATGCACCCTCGCATATCAAAGGAACAAAAAACTTGACGGTAGGCGTTGCAACTTCCTTAGGCCGCCCAGCTTCCGCCCCGCGGCTTATGTAAGGCCGTGGCCAACGAATGAACAAAAATAGTGACGCATCTGAAAAAGTACCTTTAAACGTCTTCCGTCACTAATTGTAAAAGTTTAGAGATCAGAGATATTCCCGGCGTATCTATCATCTGCGTAGCCCTTAGATTGATGACAACAACATACTGATCTTTTCAGCACCGCGAGGTGGTGCTGAATTCTGGCTGTGAAACTGAAAGAGTAAAGATAAAATCTCTATTTGTCGTATGGGTGTAACTATTAGCCCGTCCAGTGCACAACGCAAAAGCTGTAAAACAAGACTTGCCCTTGAACTGTGTGAATTAATTTTGGAAGGCATTCAGAGACATTCTTTTACCATGGTCACTGTTACACGCTCGGCGTGATCTCTGGCCGAAGCAGAGGAACGCCCTGTCTCAATGGCTCCTATCGGTGCAAGGGGTCATCTTACTGACATTTGAGATCACGGCCCTATAGGCGGGGGTCATAAATGTGACCTAAAGTCAGCCCTTCTGACCCTTCAGCCATCCCATCGGGCCCTTGATCTTTGGTCTCGAGAGACCCTTCGGCCCCTCTTGGGGCCTATCAAACACCGCTCCGACTCGGGGCCATTTGTCGCCAGAGAAGCCCTGTTCGGCACTGTAGTGCCTAACCTACACAAAAATTGCCCATTGTGCCAGGGACCTCGAACATTGCAAATCGCGAACGCCGGCCTCGTTTCTGCTTGAGGAATGGCACTCAATGGCTCAGACGGACATGGAGCCGACTATTCGGTGTTCGTGGCCTCTGACCGACCTAGACCTACATGGTCTCAGAGGTTCCTTAAACGGTACAAGAGGACCTATGACTGATATTTCAGGTCACAACTCTACGGGTTGCGATTCTTTATGTGACCTATTGGCAGTCCTTTAGGCCGTTATGCCCTCCAACCGGGCCTGTGATTGTCGGTTCTAGTGGCCGCCAAGGCCTCTCTTAGGGCCCCATCAAACACTTCCCTTCGTCGGCTCGGGCCCTTGCAAGCACAGGGCCCACTGTTAGGCGCTGTGTGCCCCTGACAGACACAAGGCTGCCGACCAGGGTAAATCACTGGCCCCGGCTTTATAGCTGATTGGGAAGTGGGTTCTCAGGCCCATACCGACACGGAGACGACTATGTGGTATGGTGGTGCCTGACCGACACATAGGCCTGCATTGACTCAGTGGGTCCCCGATCAGCTCAAAGGGCCTGATGACCGTTATTTGAGGGTCCGTCTTTGTAGGTCTGGGCCCCTGAATAGGACTCCGTCCAGGCTTTTATGCCCTTAGACCCTTTAATCGGGCCCTCGATCGGCGGACCAGGTGAGCTTAAGGCTCTTCGGGCCCCCTCCAACACTGCCTCTGGCCGACTCGGGGTCTCTTGACAACACATGGCTCCTGTTAGGAGCTGTGGAGCCGCGAGCAATGTACGTCGCTGGTTCCTACTTTGTTGCTGCTTGGGAAATGAACCCTTAAGCCCATGCTGTCACGAAGCCGACTGTGCGTTGCTGGTGGCGTCTGACCAAATATATGCCCCTTTCGACTCAGTCGGCCGCTGATTAGCGCACAGGGCCGTCTGGCTAGCATTTGGGTGCCCGGCCTTGTGGGCCGGGGCCCTTGAATGAGACATCTGGCTGGCTTTTCGGGGCGTTAATCGTTGGTTCCGAGGGGCCCTTCGGTCACCTCGGAACCTTAAGGGGGGACGTGTTCCCTGTGGCCCCCTGCCTGCGCTACTGCGTGACAACCCATTGAATTCTACGCATCTGACCCCTCGTAATATGCATCTACCTTTAACGGTTTGCTTGTTATCAATACGAGAGCAGCTCCATATGTCAACCACCGTTCTACGGCATAGTTCTCGAAAAATGGTTTTCAAGTTCCACGCCGATTTCATTGTGATGGCTGACCGCCTAAGACTGCAAAACACATTATGAAATTTGACGTTAAATTCTACGCGACAAGCTTGCTGGCCATATGCGCTTGCTACTAACATTTTGCTCATTATCGATGCGAAGAGCCCACGATGTTCCGGCCGTCCTATCTCGCATAATTACCTTGCATACGTTTTCAATTATAATGTCATTGCACTTAAACTATTGTTTAGAGGCATAGGCTCGCAAAGCCAATCATCACACGAGCCAATGAAGTCTACGTTGTCGGTTCGCGGGTTATGTGGATCTCCCCCTAACAGTTGTTCCCTATCTGTATGAGGGTTTCTGATGTTCCGACCGTCCCAAAGCGTTACGACCCGTTGTTATTGTTGTTTTGTGGATTAGGGTGCATAGCCTCCTAGATTAAAGCGTCCATCTTGGTATTAGTACTTCAGGTTTTGGTTTTCCGCGTCTCCCTTCTCGCAAAACTTCGATCTTGCTCGGTCTCGGCACCAATGACGTCGACGCCATGCTCAAAGCCCGTGCAAACCGTACGCCTCGCGGCCACTGCGGCTGTCCAGGGCGCATGTGAGGCGATACTGGGGATTGGACGGAATAAGGCTGCACGCAAGTGTTCTAGAGTCCGACCTGCCGGATGGCTGCGTTGCGCTGAGCCAAGCACAGCTTATATTCACCGTGGGTAATGACGGTGCTTATCAGATAAAAAATCAGTGGTCAGATCATTTCCCTTCGGCCGAACGCACTTCGGAAAACGACGGTGTGGATCAGGATTATATTTGCTTGTTGACCACAAGGTAAATATAAGCATGTCTACGAGATAGCTGAGGCAGATCGAACCCTATCCCAAATACTACAGCAACCTGCATCACTTGGAACATAATCGTTAATCTTACATTTGAAAAACATGATTAACCACCAGATTGTGTTATGTTCTGTGGGATTTGTATGCAGAGCATCCCATATGTCAATGCTCAATTCCAATTCAATGCTCAATGCTCCAATTCCACATGTGTCACAAAATGCTGGTTATCTGACCCAGATTGACAGTTGTTCCCCACATCTGCCCCAGCAAGATCTTTTCAAAGTATGTCATGGTATACAGACTTACAGAATGGTGGTTATGGATCAGGGTTAATGGACTTGCTTAATGATCATGAGGTATCCTGAGAGCAGTGCTTAAGGTATTCTGACACTCTAGTGCATAAGGTATTCTGAGACTCTTTAGTGCATAAGGTCAGAACTGTGCTTTCAGAACTATGGTCTCAGCCACTTGCCTGTGCTGGCTATCAATGATAAACCTCACAAACAAAATGCATGCCTTGTGTAGCAATTGAATTAAAATCAGTAAACAAATATGAAGATCAGACCAGATGCAAACTGGGCAAACAAAACATGATGTGCCAGAGAGAGTTGAGCTAGACCAGTCCTTATGCCACAGGTTCAAGTGGCCCATACAAATTTAAATTCTGGCACAAAGTAGTGTTGTTTCCAAACAATGTACTATGCACTGACTGCCATAGTATTTGATGCTGCTTCATGAGACTGCTAATCCCTTTTATTTCCTCAGACACTGCCGGTTGTGAGCATGGAAGCTCCAACCATTATATGCCAGGCCCTGAAGGAGCAAGTAAGTAGTCTAGCTACCGTTCACGCATTAGCTGTTGTTTTTGGATTACTTTTCCAACAAGTTGTTTTTACATTGCTGAATTGAGACAAGTGTCAACTTGAAATATGGGCTGATTGGAGCCCTGTTATCAGCTAGGTGACCTCCAGAGTTAAAGCAATGTTTTGAGAATGTTTCTTGGATGGCTTTTTATGTTTTATGCAATTTCTGAGGGCATGAAAAATGATACATTTCAAGGCATAGACCAGAGAGGTTCCTCCTTCCTGGAGCAGTCTCTTCCTAATCCTCGCAAGTACACTAGAGTGGTGGGGCACCATTAGTTATCTAGATCCAGTGATACTTAAGCATGTTTGCATGCATACACATGTGTATGCATGCTCACATATGCATGCATGTATACATATATGCACATACAGGGATGCATACTTAGGTACATGCATATGCATGGGCACACTGACAAGCAGCAATAATTGCTGTCATGAGGCTACAACAAGGTCAGCTGCAATATAAAGATAGTGTTAGGTTTCTGTTTGGCATTGGTTTCACAATGTAGCCTTTATCTTGAAAGACTTTGTAAGACTTAATGTAGACTTTAACTTACTTTAATATCTCCAACTGTGAAACATTCTCTTCAACCACAGAAGATTAAAAGTGTTCTTGATGACTCTGAGTTTATAAATATTGCTCAGAAATATTCAGTGTTGGTCATGAAATAAACCAGTGAGCTGGAATAACACTTCACAGACCATATCAGGAGAAAATGTTTTCTTGAGCTGCCTTTTTGCATGCCTGTAGATGCATTAGCCCTTCAGTCACCATGTCAACTTCTGTGCAGGCACAATTAACACAGTCCTCAACAAAGATGCTCACATTGCCCATGGTATCCTGAATGCAAATGGAATGATGCCACATGCCAGATAATTCACTTGACCCATGTGCAGCATGAGACAAGTTGAAGTATATTGTAATCAATTATAAAATCAATTACATAGGACATTGCAAACCGGGCGGGTGTTGAGTGTCCATCAACAGGGGATTCATGTTGCCATGGTGCTCTGGTCCTAGAGAATGCTGCCTGGACCGCTCTGACATATGGCCGCCGATGCCCGCAGGGTGTGCAGTACATGTTCGGCGTGGTCGGCATCCCCGTGATGGAGGTGGCTGTAGCGGCCCAGCAAGTCGGAATGCACTACATCGGTAAGGCGTCCTCGAGCACGCAGCATCGCTGGTCGGCTGGCTCGAGGCCCTGCAGATCTGCTTCCTCCCTTGCGCGAAAGCGGAGGAAGCAGATCGACGAATATCGGACATCTCCGTTACAGACGTGTACGGGTTTGCTGACGCGTTTTACGCGTTAGAAACGCGTACAGGTTTGCTGACGCGTTTTTCGCGTTACAGACGCGTACCGCTTTGCTAACGTGTTTTAAGCGACATATATGCGTACAGATATACTGAGGGGTTTTACGCGTTACAGATGCGTACAGATATGCTGGCACGTTTTACGCGTTGCAGACGCGTGCAGGTTTGCTGACGCGTTTTAGTGTGAGACGCGTAGAGATATGCTGACGCATTTTACGCCCTAGACATGCACAGGCTGCTTGACGCGTTTTACGCGTTACAGACTGCACAGATTTGCTGACGTTTTACGCATAATAGACGCGTGCAGGTTTATGGACGCGTTCTACGCGTTATTAACGCGTACAGGGTTTGCAGGCGCGTATTACGCGTTATAGACGCGCAGAAGTTTGCTGGCGCGTTTTACGCGTTACACACGCGTACAGGTTTGCTGGCGCGTATTACGCGTTATAGACGCGCAGAAGTTTGCTGGCGCGTTTTACGCGTTACACACCGCGTACAAATTTACTGACGCGTTGTGCGCGTTACACACGCGTACAGGTTTGCTGGCGCGTATTACGCGTTATAGACACGTACAGGTTTACTGACGCGCTGTACGCGTTACACACACGTACAGGTTTGCTTGCGCGTATTACGCGTTGCGTCTTCACAGCACAGCTTATCATCGCGATATCAAGGAAGCCTGAGTCCAAAGTGCAGACGCCGCGGTCCGCGCATCAGCAGCCGTATCTTCTCTAGGTTATGAAAGCGGCGGGCTAGTGAATGCTGCCCGTTTTCTCAGTGCAGCGGAGTTGCTGAAATTCGTGATATGTTCAATGTGAGCACTGGGTGGATAAAAACACCATTTCTTTGCACATTGCCAAGCGTTTGCCATGCTGCTTGTTTATTAAGTTGCAGTGTAGACATGAACCGTGACTATTGCTGTATTGTAGCGGAGGACCGGAGTGAATCAGGCACAGTCGATGAATAACTTTTTCTGCCACAAACGAGACGACGAAGGAAACGTTCTTAATTCATAGTATCCCCCAACAATTTCTTACGCCGAATGTGTCCCCGAGCTCTTCGGTCGTGGTCCCGTGATCGCCCCTGCTTCCCAAATTACTTAATCTCCTCTGTGTCACCAGGGATGCGCAACGAGCAGTCGGCGGCGTACGCGGCACAGGCGATAGGCTTCCTGACGCAGCGGCCGGCCGTCTGCCTGGCAGTGTCCGGACCGGGTGTGCTGCACGCGCTCGGCGGCCTGGCCAACGCCAAGGTCAACTGCTGGTCAGTGACAGCCTGACCCCAGCCACGTCTGACACGCAGGCCGCAGACCGCCTCCTCGGCCGGTCGGACCGTTGGAACGCTTTTTTGCTTTTGGAATCCCACTGATCAGCTGCGTTTGCCTCCGAAGATTGCGTCACAAAGCAATGCTGTGTGGTGCGCTGCGCTCATTTTGTATTCGGCCCGGCTTGAAATATGTCCATGTCACCACCACGAAATTTATTCACTGATCAGAGCTGTCGCGTTTACTGCCGCTGTGATGTAAGGTGGCTGTTTCGTCCTTATTTTCTCTAGCATATTTATGAAAAATATTGATTGGAATCGCACCAGCGTGCGCGGTGCTGGGAACGATCTGTACTGCTTCGAACGGAACTGGGGATTGACATTTGCAGGCCACTGATCGTCATAGGTGGCGCCAGCGACGCACCGCAAGAGGGCACTGGCGCGTTCCAAGAGTGGCCCCAAGTAGAGGCTTGCCGGCCGTACTGCAAGTATGCCGCCCGGCCCCCATCCGCTCAGCTGATACCTTACCACGTGATGCGTGCGGTCAAGGAGACTACATTTGGCAGGCCTGGTTAGTTGAATGTCTTGACGATCACGTGACATGGTGGGTTTTGTGCAGTCATTCTGGCAGATAACATGACATGTTGGTGTTGCATGCTCTGGGCTGAAAATGTGGTGATCATACCACTTTTAGAAATATCGTTGTAGTTCATTCCGTTCTGTGTCCCAGGAAAGCGTCAAGAGTGATCAATGTTAGTCATCATTCCACGCGCGGCGTACCCCGCCGTCACGACGTGCATCAGTCTGTGTACGTGGGGGTGGTCCTCTGACCCGCCTCGCCGAACACGATCGCACGCGCCGTTAGTGGGGGCGGGGTTTCGGTCGGTGACGGCAGCCGTCTGCTGGGTCGCAGGCGCAGCGTACCTGGACTTCCCCGGGGACCTGCTGCAGCAGAGCGTGCCAGAAGCGGAGGTGGAGTGGTACGGCCGGTTGCCGCCGCCGCCGCAGGCACTGGCCGAGCCGGCGCAGCTGGCGGCGGCCGTCGCCCTGCTCCGTGCCGCCGCCCGACCGCTCATCATCGTCGGCAAAGGTCAGTGTTCCGCCGTCACCACCCATGGACGGGGAGGGGGACACGGCCGGGCCGCGGGTGACGGCGGTATGGCACCAGCACGGGCTGGGGCGACACTGAGTGCGTTGCCAAGTCGTCACCGTTGAAATTGACTCGTAACTCAGCGACTTGGGACTGCAGTTTATGCGTTATAAATCGAGCCGTTTGTTGGATCTCGTCGGAGGAGCGTGAAAGGCGTGGCATGACTCTCTGGCTCTGCACGCTCGCGGTGTTGCACGTTCCATGTTTTTATTTATTGCTATTCGCTGAAATGAACAAATTACGCTTTGCCAAGCTCGGCCATCCTTCATAATGCCGCACGGTCGGACACGCGCCGGAATCCAAAGACTGGCATACCCTTCGCCTAACGTGTGAGAAGGAGTGCGTCTCCGGCGGCCGCCGTGACGCGGAGCGTGATCCGGCAGGGGCGGCGTACGGCCGCGCTGAGGCCCCGGTCCGGCGTCTGGTGGAGACGACCGGCCTGCCGTTCCTGCCCACGCCCATGGGCAAGGGCGTGCTGCCGGACGATCACGCCCAGTGTGTCTCGGCCGCCCGGTGAGCCGTCTGCCGTGCCCGCCGCTGACGCCGGCCGACACCCTGCTGGGGCCCGTCAGCGGTACCATGTGGTGCGGGCGGTTATCGGGGACGTTGCTGTAGTTTTTTCTCGTAACATGTGTTGGATCGGTATGTGGCGTCGCCAGTATTTGGATATGTGAGTGGAGAGCGAATGGTTGCCTGGGCATCGGTCGTTGGATAGATCGCTTCCGCCTTTATTGTAATTCGTGGATGCAGGTTATAGCAAAATGTACCCATTTACAGAGTATGTTATTTGTCTCCATTTTGATGGGGAAGTACGAGATGCTCGTAATGTGCTGCAAGGCGGAACTACACAACTAATTCCTACCAATGACAAAAGTAAAATGAGACCAAACCACGGTGCGGGAAATCCGTATTTCCGTAATTCCGTATTTCCGTAATTCCGTGTTTTCGTCTACTAGCCTTCCGTCCGGACTCGGCGTGGTGATGATGTGATAATGATCCGGGGTCGATGTGACCGCCGCCGCCTGGTCTATCCCTGGGTAGCTGCGTTGGTCTGCCCGACGCTGCTTGGTCTGGCCCTGGGCCTACTGGCGTCATCAGGTGGTCTGAATGGCGCGGTCTCCATCTCAGGTCCCTCTCACATCCCGGCATGTTTGACTGACGCAGGTGGTCTGAATGCCACAGTCTCGCTCTCACGTGCCTCTCGTCCTGACAGGTCCGACTGACGTCGTTGGGTCTCTTCCGCTGTGCCCACGGGGACACGCTGAATGCCCGCTCCTCCCACCGCCAGGTCCCTGGCGCTGGCGGAGGCGGACGTGGTGCTGCTGCTGGGCGCGCGGCTCAACTGGATGCTGCACTTCGGCCGGCCACCCCGCTACACTGCCGCCTGCCAGTTCATTCAGGTGCGGTCTGGAGCCGACCCGCCCAGTTTGCCGTGGGCTGGCCGGAGTGAGCTCGCTGTAGGTCTGACTGCCTGACGCCCCCTCGCCCCTGTGCTGCGGTTGGTTCGCGGCCGCTCCACGCGAGGCGTGTCGCGGTGTTGTCCAGTGTGACTCGTCCGACAGGCCGGTGCAGACTGTTCAGTCTCTCTGGGTCCAAGCATGTGTAACCTGACCTGAACTGGCAGGGTCGTGTTGTGTCGGAGGACGAACTTCGTCAGTCCCGAAACACCTTGTCCCAAACACCAAATACGAAACGCCCACGAAACAAATGACCCGAAACACCTTGACTTGATGTGGTCTGACCTTACATGACCCTGCGTTTCAACATCTAATCGGACGAAGCTCATGACAGACGCTGGGTTCTGACCTGCCTGGACCTGGCCTCATCCCATGTGACCCGATCTGGGCCTGGTCTGGTCCAGGATCTGACGGCACGTGGCCATCTGACCGGATGAGGTGCAAAGCAGACCTGGAATCTTGCCCTGACCTGACCTGACCTGACCTGGCTGGCAGGTGGACATCTGCCCGGAGGAGTTCCACACCAGCCGTCCGGCGGCGGCCGCCCTGTTCGGCCAGGTGGCGCTGGTGGCCGACCAACTGACTGAGGCGTACGGCGCGGGCGGGCGGCCCGACCAGCTGGCGCACTGGTGGCGGCGCCTGCGGGACAAGGCTGCAGCCAATCAGCTGGGCGTCCAGGTCCGGCGCCGCATTCCCATCAGCATCTGTCCCAGCATCCCTGCATGGGTGCGGGGATGCTGGGACAGCTCGGGCGGCATTCGTGGCGTTTTCGTTTGCATGTTGCATGCGAGAATATCTGCAATTTGTAAGGAAGGGTGAACGTCCACGTTGTGCAGGACACTGTATGTTTGGGATCGGCCGGGTAGAGTAATTTATCATCCATATTGCTGTGGCAAGAACATTCCAGCTGTGTCCTGTGGCTGGTGGATATATTTTAGAGTTGTTCGGCGTCCGTATCCCTGTACAGACCAACGCCACTCGAACCCCAGGCCAGTGATTTGCCTTGCGATGTGTGCGGATTTGCACTACGCTGCTCTTCCAGGCCCAGATTTCGGACCACTCTGTGCCGCTGAACTACTACGCGGCTCTCCAGTGCGTGCAGGACAACATACCCCAAGGTGAAGAGCGGCACTGCCGTCGCCCTGAAACGCCACCACATTGGTGCTAGTAGCAGTATATTAACCTGAGAGATGAGAGGTGGATATTGCTTCTAGTCATGCTTTAGCTGAGATTCGATCCTCTCAATAGGCATGCAGCAGATATTGCAATGTCGTGAAGTACAGGAGACAGTAATCTGCTCAAGTCCTGCCATCCGTTGTGCCCCTGTCATCCGTTGCCCGGTGCTGTGTCGTCCGGTGCTCGTGTCATCGGTTGTCCTGTGCTGTGTTGTCCAGTGCTCCTATCATCGGCTGGCCAGCGCTGTGTCGTCCGGTGCTCCTGTCATTGGTTGTCTCGTGCTGTGTCGCCTGCTGTTGGGTCGTCTGATGTGTGACTGGTCCGGATCTCGGCGCCGCCAGACAGCATCATCGTCAGCGAGGGCGCCAACACCATGGACATCGGCCGCACCCTGCTGCTGAACCGGCTGCCGCGCCACCGGCTGGATGCGGGCACCTTCGGCACTATGGGCGTCGGACTAGGCTTCGCCATCGCTGCTGCCACCTATTGTCGACAGGAGAAGCCAGAACAGCGTGTCATCTGTGTAGAGGGCGACTCGGCGTTCGGCTTCAGTGGGATGGAGGTGGAGACCATGTTCAGGTACAGCTCCTATAGGTGCGGGGTTTTCATGGCATTTCTGTTTGGATGCCATGTTTGTGCTATTATGTTGGTGTTCATACTTGAGCTGATGGCAATCACAGCGTGTTTTTGTGGGCATATCTTATAAATGTGTCAAAATGGAAATGTGCTGTGACATATAGCTTAGGAGCATTGATGATGCTGTCAGCAATGGGCCGTAAGCCTGCAGCGCGTGAGTTCATTATCTGCAGCCAATTAGGAACGGCGACTGCGAGAGGTCTGCCGATGATGAGGTCGACTGATGATGCCGTCCTCCGGGCCCACCATCTCCTCCCGCGTCACCCGACAGGTACCGTCTGCCGGTGATCATCATCATCATCAACAACAGCGGCATCTACTCCGGCATGGAGCGGCCGCTCTGGGACGAGATCACCGCAGGGGGCGAGACCACGCTGAGGTGCGCCGACAGTGGCGCTGGCCGCCCGACGGCCGCGCTGGCCGCCCGACAACGGCGCTGGCCGCCCGACGACGGCGCTGGCCGCCCGACGACGGCGCTGGCCGCCCGACGACGGCCGCTGTGCCCGGCGCCGGGCCCTGCCGCGCCGCTGCTGGGCCAGCTGCGCCCAGCACGCCGGATCGGGTGATAGCTGTGTGGAGGGCCCCGTGTGGTATCGCTGCTCTTGTGTCTGTGGGCGTTGCATTGCGTGCTAATCCCGCTCAGACTGAGGGTCGTAACATGTCGCTTGTAACGCGTCGCCTAAGCCTCTCTGGCCGTCACGCAGATCATCCGAATTTTCCCATGTGGGGCACCGGAGGCTTGCCTCATGGCTGTGACGTGGCCGCGACAGGGCTGTGACGTAGCTGTGACGTTTGTTTCCACCAGCGCTCCGCCGACGTCGCTGCTGCCGGACTGTCGCTACGATCGGATGACGTCACTATTCGACAGCAGCGAGCAGCCTTCCGGTTGGAGCTGCAACACTATCCCTCAGCTGGTCTCGGCCCTGCGGGCAGCTCTGCAGGTACACCGCCGTGACAGGCGCAGCTAAGCTCCTGTCCATGCCGATCTATATTGTACCCCTCCCCCCCCCCTCAACGTCTCATCCGGCGCGATAGACTGCGATGCTAAGGGCATAGTTGCACGCATCATCAGACAGAGATTTGAGACACCGAGCAACGCGCTAACCAATGGCAGGCCGGCAGCTGTGGAAAAGAGGTAACAAAGTCCCCGTTGGCAAGCTCTCGCAGAGCGGGGGGGGGGGGGGGGGCTCGGCGCCCAAAGGTTGGTGAGACCGTGTGAGGGAGCATGGGGGAGGGGAAAGTGGCCGCCTCGATGACGGGGCTGTGGTGGAACCGCCCCACCTACCGGCTGTCGGCCACTAAACCGTCTGGGGGAGCTCAGGTGGGGGGAGGGAAGGGGAGATTGGCCGGCTCGATGACGGGGCTGTGGTGGAGTCGCCCCACCTACCGGCTCGCGGCCACTAAACCATCTGAGGGAGCTCAGGCGGGGGGAGGGGAGGGGAGACTGGCCGGCTTGATGACGGGGCTGCGGTGGAGCCGCCCCACCTACCGGCTGTCGGCCACTAAACCGTCTGAGGGAGCTCGGGCAGGGGGAGGGAAGGGGAGATTGGCCGGCTCGATGACGGGGCTGTGGTGCAGTCGCCCCACCTACCGGCTCTCGGCCACTAAACCCTCTGAGGGAGCTCAGGCGGGGGGAGGGGAGGGGAGACTGGCCGGCTGAATGACGGGGCTGCGGTGGAGCCGCCCCACCTACCGGCTGTCGGCCACTAAACCGTCTGAGCGAACTCAGGCGGGGGGGGGGGGGGGGGATTGGTCGGCTCGATGACGGGGCTGTGGTGGAGCCGCCCCACCTGCCGGCTGTCGGCCGCCCAGAGCGCGGCGTGCTGACGCCCGGCGGCTGTTGCAGCTCACCGACCGGCCGGCCATCATCAACGTCAAGATCGACCCGCTGTCGACGCGCCGGCCTCAGGCGCACGACTGGCTGACCCGGGCCAAGATGTGACCTGGTCCGGAGCCGGCCGCCGGTGGCGCCGCCCAGCGGTGACGCGGCCGCGGCCCTCACGCCGGAGGTCACGCGCCAGGGGTGGCGGCGCATCCTCGTCAGGGTTACGCCCTTGTTTGCCCCGCCGCGTCGGTGCGGCGCAGGGCGTCGCGATCACGAGAGTGGAGGGCAGGGCTACGCCCTGGGACCTTTTAACCTCGATTGAGCGGCTATGAATGTATCAGGAATATTATGGGCTGTTTTTTACCTCGAAAGGTGCACTATCTGTATTGTTATTGAGTCATGCATGCCAGCGCCTTGGACAGTGCTTGAAGGTCGAATCGAATAATAAAGGGAAAACGCGGGACCAGCTGTCTGTGAGCAGCGCGTGTATGGAGCCGAGCTTGAACTTGTTTGTTACAAATGAACTGTGATCGATGATCAGTACCTTGGCGTGTGTTATGCAAATCTTGTTCACTCCTGGGCCGCTTCCCGCACTAGTCGTTACAGATGTAGATGAAAGGGGCGTAGTAGCTAAGTGGCTACCGCCTAGGCCTCGCAGCCGAAGGGCCTGGGCTGGAATCCCGTCCGCGCCATGGCCCCTGAGCGTTAATATGGCCCCTGCAGTGGCGGGCGACCCGTTCAAGGATCGCGATGACATGCTTCGTGTTCCCTTAAAAAATCTGACGTGTATATTGACGCCAATGCTTGATGCGTTGTGTGTCAATAATTGTGTAACTTTATCGTATAGCACACAGGTTTGATAGGATACCATGACGCTCTTTGCACGTGATGTGTATATACGTTTTACGGAGGATTTAAATGCTGTTAAATTTGTGAGATGAAATGTTTGAATGTATACGATATTGTTGGTACTGGACAGATCTTCAGATAATATACGTCGGTTGTGGGGTGTGCGGCTCAGCGAGGCGCGAGTCTAGATGACGTCATCGGTCGGGCGCCGATGGGGAGGACGGCACTCTCCCAGCACCGTGAGCGCCGTCTGAGGTGCAGTGACGTCACCGGTAAGGAAGGTGGGTAGCAGGGGCAGCCTACCTGACCCTGTGGAACGAACGAGGCAGGGACAAAAGTATATGTCTGCTCCGCCCCGCGATTCAGCCAACAACGCCAACCAACTTGTGACAAATTTGTCGCAGAATTGTTTACGAGCATGATTCACCAGCCAGCAGGCGTTCGTTTCAGGGCAACGTACGTGTCAGCTAGTGGGAACCAAACCTGAACACGGCGATACAACCCTTCACTGGGCGCGGGTATGGAAACAGGCGAAAATCGCTATGTTCGGTAAAGGCTCCATGCATGGTAGACAAGACATGGTCCGGAATTGCGTTGAAAACTGCTGGTATCCGACAGGACTGGGCTGTTGCTCTTTCTGGATAGATGCCTCTCTCTCGTAACGCTGCTATCGCACGGAATTGGACGGCGCCGCTACTCGCTATTCCCAGCTTCGGTCACGCTGAAATGCGCCGTGTTTTCCATGTGACGCTGGCAGACCTGAGGCACGAGCTGAAGTGTTGGACTGAGGTGAGCAGGGTGTACTGGGGTGCATGAGCCGGTGACTTTCCTAGCTGTCTGAAAATTTACCATGATCACTTATTTGTGTAAAGCAGATGGGATGCCTGCCACATTATGTATTTTCAAATTCTGCTCCCTTACACGACACCGCAGCAGAAAATAAATTTTCGGAAACCTGCCTGCCTTAGGCATAATTTGGTTTACCGGGCACTCATTGGCCACTCCTTCAGCGTAGCCGACTTGATCTGCTGTTTTGTGAAGAACGAAGGTCCTCACTTCTCATAAACAAGTTCCGAGCTATAGTGGGTGTTTAGCGTGACCCGGTGTTTCCAGAAAATAATTGACCTTCCATATGTTTCCGGCTTTTCATCTGACTTGCTTGCCGTTATCATTTTTACGTTATCTGACCGAAATTGTAGTCATTATACAGGCCTTCTAAGGTGCGGGCACGTTCTGTAATTGCCATTTTTTCCTCATTTGCATGAAGAATAAACTCATCACATTCAGACGTTTTATGAAGCGCCATAAATAAAGGTTGACTAGAGCGTACACAGAAAGCTTTGGATTAGCACTTCATGTTGATATTGCACTAAATGATCACAAAAGTTAGTGATCTTGACCCAATAGGACATAACTAATTACACTAACTACCCAGACATCGACCGTGAACTTTTAAGTCGCAAGCCTACGATTCGGTGGTCGATCACTGACATATGTATGCTCACATGTTTAGATCTATGCCGGTACCCGCAGTCGTGTACGAGTGGTTCAGACTCCCCAGCTCGGCATTTGGAATGCACCTGGGGTGCTGCAATCAGCCACCCCGAAGGTGGCTGATTGACCTGACAGATGCCAGTTGGTGGAGCGTGAAAGGGGCTCCACGATTATGCGGCGTAACCATGTCAATGCGATCGGTGACGCGTAAAAGCTTTCTGCGTGAGGTTGTGACAAGATATTCTGACGAAAGGCGCTGAGTGGTAGTGGCTATCTCTGCCAGCCGTGTGTGCTCAACTAGACGCCTAATGCATTTTTGAAAAACAGTGACGTGTATTTCGGGGCTTAACACAAGCAGAATCATGTAATGGGCAGTGACAACCTTCCTCTTCAAACTTTGCTAGTGTAGGACTAGCAAATATCGCCGGTTGTCACCATGTGCTTGACACAGGGTGCCAGATCGTGACATCTAGACAAACGCATCGGACACGCTGCTTGGCACTTATGGCGCGGGGCACTGCACCATTTTACCCCTGCCCGACGAGCGCACCTGGTGAACCCCTGTCCCTTAAACCAGAACCGTTCAGAAATACAATCCCGCAAACTCAAGTGGCTTTCTGATCGTCGGTCGTTAGCGGTAGCACTTGTCAGGCCTTGCCCAAAACGTCGGATATGTTTTTAATGTTTCGTGAAATGCCTAAAAATCATACATCGTTCAAGCAAATAGCGCAACGCTGTTGCCAACGGAAAACGCCAGCGAACTCGTGACATTTCAAGTGAGGTCTAGGATTTTCAATGAGGTTGCGCAATAGTGGTAATTTTGTGAGAGCTACATGAAGCACTAACACTTTATTTTCATTTGCCGTGCATGATAAGATAGTATGCTACCATTTACCGATGAAACAGTTTTATCCAGTGCGGTTTGAGAAAGAAGGCTGGTGAACTAGGTTAATCGGCATGCATGTATAGGTTGGTGCAAAAGTAAACAGAGACTTAACACAGATTGAATCTGAAAAGTGAGGGGTGGGGGGGGGGCAGATAACATTGCGAGTATCATAATATATAATTATATATATAATATATATATATATATATAAAGCCTTCTTGAAATAGCCAGTTTAAGAAAAAACAACACGCCGTCACAAGAGCCGGCTTATTACTTGGATGTCCGGCGAACATCACTTGATTGAATTGAGTGTCATACATGAAATTTATGCACTTCGACTGGTATAGCGTTAAAGGCTTCGGTTCGCATGTTTTGACGATAGTTGTTGTGAAACAGAACAATATAAGCTGCTTCACAAATTCCCGATGCATTAGAGTCGTTATGACATAACCAGTTATGAGGCATGACTGACATATTCCCCTTCCGCGCTGCCATGAAGCAATGCTAACTATTGCCGCCGTGATGGCCGTCTGTGGCAAATCGAGGTCCTTCGCTATTCCACTCGGTCTCTCGCGACCGTTCGATGCTGACTGAGCGTCGCGGAATGTGCGGAATGGGGGCGAAGGGGCGCGCCAGCAGGCTGTGAGTGTGAGCCGGTGCCTGTGACCGCCACGAGGTCGGAGATACCGGCGGTCACGGCGCGGCGTCACATGGCCCTCTGTCGGCCGACGGGCCCACCACACGGGTCGTCACGCGACCGTACACGCACTCGC